TATAAAGATGAAAGCCAGGTGACCATACATTTATTACCTATTTTTTCAGTTTAACCTCTTTTAGGACTTTGGTGACCAATACTATCATCACAAAGAATCTTTACTGCTTTTTAAACTTTAATTTTCATTATTCATTTTTAAATTACTAGTATATTTGACACCCTTAATAATCTAATTCTCCTGGTACCCAGATCTGATGCTGTATGAGGAGTCCTAGACTTGTCACTAGACTTAACAAACCAATTTTCTTACTCTTTCAGTATATGCAATGACCTGCAGAGTAAGATAAACAAAAAAGAAAAAAAAAAGGAAATCAAATAAGATGCACATTTTACCCTAGAACAACATCCAGCAGCATTGTCCTACTACGCAAATAACACAAAGAAATTCTGCAAACCCACATTTGGCAGGACTGGGAATGGAGCCCACATCTCAACCGCAACAGTCATCCATGCAGCAACCCTACTGCTCAAAATACCAGTCAGACACATAAACTTAGCTCTCCTGTTTGTACCTAGCACTTTGGTGCTACAGGATCATCCACCTTGTCAATCCCACCAACAAAACACGGGCTTTATGGGCAACACTTCATTGCTGTCTAATACAGGTGGGGGTTATGGAGGGCACACAGAAGATAATTTCATTCTATCGTGGTTTTTTCCCTCTTCTTCACAAAATAGTAACACAGGTGAATTTTTATTTACTTTGTGGTTACTTACTACAGGAAAGAGACATTAAATTAAGAGCTGTGCTGGATGGCCAATAGTTCAGAATAGAAATCATACAGATAACCCTGATGGCTCCAGAGTACCAATGGCTGTAACGGTACAATATGAGGAATTTCACTTTCCATTATTACATTTTATGTTGGAAAAAACACACCAACTCACATATAAAGCAGCTTATTAGAATGTGTCATAGTTTAAATCTATTTTAGTCTCACAAAGCACAATATAAAGTTAGATATAGGTACTTCATGTTTAAATCACTTGTCACATATGTCCGTATTACTATTTTAAATAGGAACAGTGAGCACTTTTGAACAGAGAGAGATTGGTGTGATTTTGGGATTCCTTCAAAAAAAGTGCTTGTTTGGCTTTAGCATGAGAAGAGCAAGGGACACACTGACAGCAGTCCCGGAGAGGATCAGATGTTTATCCCCTCAGCTAAGATCAAGTGCAACGGGGTTTTAAAAACTGCATATTGGATTACCCAAACTATCAATTTTCCTAGCAAAAAATAGTATCCTAATAGGTCTTAGGTCTAAGATAAGGAAAAATTGTTCTGATTTTGAACAATCACTTCAATAGTCAGATTTGCAACCTTTAAATCAGTTTTTGACAATGCACTGGTCTTCCCTCCACAGAATTATATTCTTAAATAATAGCTGAGAAGAAATATTCCATTTTCACGATCTTTTAAACTGAACATACATCGTAGGAGCTTTGACTACAAACAGAAATGGCACAGTTTACAACAGTAACAGGTCTCCAAAACTTTAAAAAAAAAAAGCTCAAACGAACACTGATTTATAAAATGCAATGCTGAAATAATTTAGTTAGCTAAAACTAACTGCTGAGAAGTACATAAAATTCAAACCAGCCCCACTAATCTAATCAGCAAGAGCAGGAAACGTTGAGGATCCCCATTAACTAATAGAAATATTAAATGTGTCCATTATAATGTAAGATTTTCCTTTCTGTCAAGTCTCAAAAGCTCAGGATGGTACCAAGAAATAATAACATTTTTTTAAACATACATATATACACACACATATACATACAGAGCATAGCAAAAGCCATGCATATAAAAGAAACTAACCAGTCTGACATATGGGATGTGTGTGATTTAAGCCTGATTCATGAAACAAGCAGCTACAGTTACTCAAGCTTTCTTGGGGAAAGAGGAGGGAGAAGCAATCCCTTCCCTTCTGTTTTTTCCATTAATTAGACCCTCAGGAGAGTTCACCTTCCAAACAATCCATTTGAACAAAGTTCCTATAAATCAGTTTTATCTATAAAAAGCTGCACGTTTCCATCTTGCAGAGAGGGTAAGGCTTTTTGAACCACAGTTTAAGCAGACAGGGATACACTCAATTTGCTCTTTCTTCACGAAAGATTACAACAGCAGACAGAATACAATACATAGTTTCTAAAACTAAACTGAGCCTGTGACTCAAGAGGCTGGTGTGGCATCAACAGAGAACAATCTTCTTCCTGAAATAGTCCATTTGCCATCTGTACAACTTACAGTTACACACAGCAACTCATGCTATGAGAGACCACCCATTTCAGAATGTCTCTAAATATAACACTATGGTAGAAGACATCATCTGTTTTAAGAGTAATGCTCTAATATAGTCCAAACTGGATGCAATATTTAGATACTACCATAACATCAAGCAGTTACCACAGCCTAGCTTTGGGAAGCCAAATACACAGATTCAATTCACTTAGCTTTAAAAGTGAATTAAGCCAATTGTGATTAATGTTAAAGATAAAATATCATAAAAGCAAGGAGGTAAATTAAGTTGGATGATAATAGAAAGGAAAAAATTACCCACATTTCATCACTAACAACTTTCCTAGATGCATGTCACTGTCACAACAAAAATGTACAACAGCTCTATCTTCAGTTCACTTCTGGGCAAAATTAATTCACAGAACACTGCTAGGTCTCCAGTTACAGAGTCCAGCCCATGCACAGGGGAAGGGAGGATGGAAGGAATCTCAACTATTAGAATACAAACTGCAAAATAATTAGTTGCTCTTGAGAGGGGGAAATGACTCTTCAGAGAGAGTCATTCAATTCTGGAATTCAAACAACTGTACTGAAGCACTTGGATAGCAAAGTGGAAAAAAATCCAACATATACACTGGTCTAATACAATCCATAATGGTCAAAACAGTATATCATAATCTTTCTCTTTTTTAGTAAATATAAATAACTAGGAATAACTTCATTTTCTTCACTTTTCCCTCCTTCTGTCTACAACAATTTGTAACACATAACTATGGGAAAAACTTTGGATCTAGACTATGCAGAGATATATTATCTCCAGCCAAGTACATACAGCCAATGAAAAACCCAGGAAAAGAACAAAATACACACACAGACAGACACAAAGAAAAATCCACCAGGCAGTCTACTTCATTTCTATCAGACAATGGGAAAATTCATATGCTTGCTTAGTTCCAACAAACAGCATTTAAGGGATAAATGTAAACATAATATTAAATACTGTAGTAGACTAGGATTGCCATGGTGTGAACCAGTGCTCATGCATGATAAGCATCTGCCAATGCTGAAGAAGGTGGCTGTGAAAAAATTACATATTTGTCATGCATGGATTATAACTACACCTTGGGTGTTCCTAAGCTACAGTGCATGTATTTTGTTAAAGGAAGGTGTATAAACAGAATGGAATTAATAAAAAATAAGTATAACATAAAACCCTCCAGATTTTGACTATTCCACCTACAATATAACTACATGGCAGCACGAAGTAACTCTCTTCAAAGGCAGCAAGCAATTACAAGCTTTCCTATTTAAGCACATCTGCTGACTTTCTATTTATTTGCAACTGTTCGACAAAATTTGAGAAAGAACAAAACCCAAAACCACTACCACATACATACTGAAATCCAGCAGAGGTTTTTGTAATAGATAATTAAAAAAAAACACAGAAAGATAATAAACTTAACTTTGTTTACAAGCTCCATAGCTATGAATGCTAAACCTGACTTCAACACATGGATAATATAAAGAAACAATACTGACTAACCACCTTTTAAAAATAAAAGTGGCAGTGTGAGCAGAGCATACACATGTAGAAGGATACACAGCTAATGCTCTCATAACTAAAGAGAACATTAAGTATTTTCGTATTATATAATTCATCGTACAATCTTGCTTAAGGACATACAAAAATATTGAAAGAGAAAAAAAAGTCTAACCTTATCAAACAAAACTTTAGATTGGACAGTAAGTTTGCTTGCATAGGGTCCTACTCAAGCTCTTCAAGACTCCCTTATACTGGGATTTTTCAGCTGGCATTTCTCAGCTACAAATTCTGCAGAATGCTTTTACATGTCAAAATAGAGATACCAAACTAAATATCGGGTTTTGGTTTACATCTCTCCAGAAGAAAGTGTAAACAATTATCACAGTCTTAAATGGGCCACTAGGTAGCATCTAGATGTTAGCCTTTGTCTTCAAACATCACTCTTGTTCTGGTGCATTTGGAAGAGAAACACAGGGGTCATTCGGAGTACATATATTCCTGTGGCATTAAGCCCTAAATGGTTTGTGTCAGTCTGCTATAATAATCAAAGCAATTTCTAATCCATGTGAAGAGTTTATGCTATATTATCTGGCATAGCGTCAAACATTAGAACTAGAATTTTAATAGCAATACAGTAACTGTATGCTGTTCAAATCTTGAATTTCACCCAATAGAACAAACTCAGTTTCATTTCAGTACAATTTTGACACCTGCAGTGCTTGAGTTTGCAGCACCACTAATAGGACATATAAATCCAATTTCTCATTTATACTAATATAATCATTAGGCTTCCCTTTTTAAAATCCATTATCAAACCAACCTACTGAAACCACAAGTTTACTATTTTCTTATAATTGTCTAATGTATACTATATGCTGTATTCAATTTAAAGAGAAGTCTACATAGCATCACACTTAACCAGTCTAACTTTCTGTAAGTTAGGCTGATGCAACTGTATAAACAAACTTTTCAGTTACCTAAGCACTGCAGAACTAACATTTACTAATATTTGAAAAGAATACAGAATTAGGTCTTTACTATCAACACAAACCCACAAAGCTATACTCCTGCTTCCAGTATTAAGTGTATGCATAGGCTTTACTCAGTACATAAATTTACAGCTCAAGAATTAGCAGTTTAAAAGTGATTAGTACAGCTAAAAGCTATACCGAAACAAAATTAAAACATATTCAAAGATAATGATTTTTTGTTTTACCTGAAAATTAACATCTTCTTTCTTGAATATTAGTGCTCGAACTTCATCAGGATCTCCATTAAATATAGCTTGAACCAATGGTGGCTGAAACAAAGCAAAAACACAGAATAAACCCCCATTTTAGGTTTTAGTGATACACATACAGTTTTTTGATACATAACAGAAACACAAGATAATGATAAAACAACATCCCAGGCAGTGAAATAAAGAAACCAGCAAGAGTATTCAAAATCAAAAAAAATTCCAAGTTCTAAAAACCTCAAACACACAGACATAATCTAAGCCATAAAAGACAGAAAAAAGAGTCCAGAGGACAAGCTTATAAGAGCTGAAAAAGCTGAAAAGGGAACACCTCATAATAACATTAGGGTTGTTCTTACGTGCTGCAAATTCTATATAGCATAAACAAACAGTGCCCTTTTGCATTAGCAAGTGACTGAAGTTACTGCAAGTCTTTCACCTGTTCAGACAGAGTGGGAAAGCAAAGTGCATCAGATAAGCATGGTAACAAATTCACACAGGCATATCTATTACTAAATATAGCAGGATTTCTTAGTAAGTAAGAAAAGCTGCTGAGGTATACTAGCAAGATTTAAGCCAGTCAGTTGAAAAAATAAAATAATTTGAAGCAATAAAAGCATAACCCCCAGTGTTGATAATTTCTAGAAAGTGGTACCTTGAATCTAACAGTTATATCAAGATTGTGACTTATGTTAATTTTTATTTTAGCTTAGAATTTCTCTTGCTTAACTATATACTCTATCAGTTCTCAAAATAAACACAGTATATTATTACAATACAGTGATCACATCTGTTCCTAAAGTGGTACTGCATAAATGTACCATTGAATTGAGGAGTGGAGCAGGGAAAATCCATTTCTTTCAAATTCATTTCTCCAAGCCTTCTAAAAACCCTTTGCTATTACACAAGAGTTGAGACCTTTTATTGCTGCACCACAGATAAAGTTGTAAGAAAAAGAACAGACCCCTTTCAAATATAAAGTCTACCACTAAGTTTCAGCTTTTTCCATTCTTAGTAAGGCAGATTTTACCACCTTGCCTTGTTTCAACATTGTATGTATTCATCCTAATCTTAGGAAAATAACTATTGGTATTTGCGACAGCATCATAAGCAGGAAATATGCCAACAAACAACATGCCTTACCAGCACATTTCCAGAGGGCGATGGACGTAAAGATAAATTTTCCTGAGGCAAATTGGAAATAAATGTGGGAGAATCATCTTCCTCCTCCTCCAAAACAACAATACAGACTCGACTCATTCGAACCGTTTGAGTAAGCAAAAGCAAACAAAAAAATGCTAGGAGCGGTATTTTTGGAACCAGACGGCAGGTATAGCAGCAGGGACCATAGAGGAAATACCTTCACCTGTTTCACATGCCCTCACAAACTTGCGAGTGCTACCGCTGTTGTATTTGCATTTAAAAAGGGACATTCCAATCCCCCCTCACATTTCATTTTTCAGATTTAAGCACCCTGAGACGTTCAAGACACTGCTGAAAAAAAGTTGTTCTTTTAAAAATAAAAATTCCCTAGGCATCGAAACCACAATAACGAAACTGTGGAACAGCTGATAAAAATATCCCAAGATCCAATTCCATTCGAACAGCACTCACTGTCGCACACAGCTGTCCTTTCACGAGCAATTCTGTCTTTGTTAATGTCACAACTTCCACAGCGTCCTTCTACCCCCACAGTGAAATCATTGTTGCAGAAGACACGACTCGGTCCTACCGAGGACAGAACAAGGAACAATTGCCCCGAAAGAGGCGGCCGCAGCTATTCCCCACTCCCGCAAGGTCAGTTTTAAAACAACCGTCGCAGCCCTTCTGGTGACTGAAAATAAACGCGCCCCCTGATCATCCTGTCGTTCTACAGCTTCCTCTCTCAATGCCACAAACAGCCCGGCCAGAAAAACGCATCTCGGTTCCAGCAGCTATTCAGGACCTGCTTAGAGGAAAATAATTCTTTCCCATGCAAGAAAAAGAGCTGCAACGTGCAGCACGGCTGCAGCACATTTACATGCGATGAGTCAGAGCACAGGGACAATGAACTCCTTGAATAATGTTGCCGGTGGAATCCAGCCTCCCCAAACGATAGCGACGCAGCCGGTGTTACTCCATCAGGGACACAAGCAATGCGGAGCGTTCATTTTTCCTTTACCGGGCAGTAGCTGTGGCTTCTCCATCGGGGAATTCGCAAGGCAGAAATACTGTTGAGGAGGAATGCTTCAACAAAACAAGCTAGCTACCGCACACAAAAGCTCAAATTACTGCCTTAGACGACTTCTGCAAAAGCAGTTCATCACTCAAGTGTTTCTTTTGATCACCATGTGAATGCAGTTCCCATGATAGTCTTCATTCAGATTGAGGGGGAGGAAAAAAAAAGAAAAAAAAATCAGACCCCTTACGTCTTCTCTGAGCCAACTTCTTTATTCGAACATCTGTCACTGCGCCAACCTGATTCTCCTCTTCAGCAGGAGCTTCTGCTTATCAGGTTTTTTTCCTTGACAAACTGAATTACACAATCAGCAGATAGCCTTGCAAAGCTCAAAAAATAACCTGGTTGTCCGAGTCCGTAGGAGCAGAGCAGAAGCCACTGGCACGGCAGCGTTCCCCCTGAGCAGCAGCCTGGAGAGCAGCGACTGCAGCCTGGCAGGGTGAAATGCCTAGTAATGCTCACATGTCACACTTACCAGAGAACCCAGTCACCGCTCCCAGTGCAACTTCCTCTGGCACGAAAAAAAAAAAAAAAAAGCGCCTTTTTCTTTTTTTGGGGGCAGTCTTTGCAGTTATGGCTGTGCCAGTTTGGTGACTAATGCAGCTGAAAACGTAAAAATCCTATAACTGAAGAAAGAGCGACTGTTTTAATATTTTCCACTGAAAGCCGCAAAGAAATGTGGTGTACTGGCTCTGCTGACTAACTACCGTTTAGGCAGTAAACAATTCCAGCACTTAACTGCTTTCATATGGAACCGGTCAGAGCAGCAAAACAGTCCCCACTTAACTCATTGAAGACAAAAATCTCCCCGCATAAATCCTCTGAAAATTAAATGAAAAGTAAAATCTTAAAGCAATAGGTTGACTATTAAAAAGACAGATATTAATGACCAAACCCATGTTTTTTTGCAACTAGGACAAATATACCCTTGAAAAAAATTACATCAATTATCATTTGAATATAATAACCTTATTAAAATATACCATAAAAATAAAGTAAAATATAAACCCCTACAACTTGCTGAATAAATACTTCAGCTTGTATCTGCCTAAATGGTGCTGGCTTGTGGGTGTATTATGTAAATGGCTTCTGTCAAAAGTTGCTGGATAAGCTTCAGTGTTACAGGAACAGAGGGAGGGTTTTTGCTCCTGCTGTGCAGCATAAAGGCAATTCTGATGTCCTTCAGTGGCTGCTAGGATCAGAATTTGTCAATGGAGAGCAAGTTTATAGCTCTTCAATAAAGTATTTGCACTCAGGTTTCACATATGAAGCCAGGCAGAGAGAAAGACAGGTTTAAATGGTGTGTTAAATGGTTTGGATATAAATAGACATATTGAATTCCCACCTTTGGGGGTCACAGGCAGGAAAAGCTTACATTAGCTGTCTTCTGCAATAATGTTTTCAACAGCTTCACTGCAACATAATATATTGCTTAAATGCCCGCCTGGTCTCCCCAATACTTCATGCAGGTGAAGGTTTTTTAAGTGCAAAAGAGCACTTTGGCTAAGGGCTCCCTGAGCTCGAGACTCCTGACCTGGCAGAATATAGCACCAGTTTCTGATTCACCATGAAATTTCATATTAAAATTTCCCAAGTCTCACAAACATCTTCATAAAGATATTCTGTTCATTACATAGAGTCCAGTTGTTTTGAAATTTCATACTTCTGGTCTTCATTACAAAAAACCAATTATTTGTACTCTACACTGCTTTGTTCTAGCATTCCAACCATTTATTAAAAAGAAATAACACAGATTCACATGAATACATATGACATGTTCTTCTTGGCCACAGCAGACCAGTTTTAATAAAAACATGGACATCCTCAAGGCTCAGCTACTGCAACACCCTAATGTCTGCTACACAACACAGCAACCCAAACATAGAAGACAGTTTGCTTTCTCTTTGTGACAAATATCCTATGGAACAGACATGGTAGCTTATTTCCATAACTTAAAGCTTCATTTTTAAAAAAAAATTTAAAATCAGATTTTAAGGCTACAAGCAAAATACTGACAAAACCCATACTTGAGTTTCATACAATACACACATACTGGCTAGATAATGGTTTTCCAGCTAAGCCCGTATGTTTAGTGTAAATGAAGAGTCAGTACATTTATACAGTAAGCAAAGACTAAGCGTCCCATATCCTTTTGTTGGAATTACCAACTGGACATATTGCTAGGTAGAGATAATGCCCAATTTAGTTCAAATTAACTGAACATTGTCCATTTTTGAGCTTTGCAATTAATGGTCCAAAGTCACCTAGAAATTCTGAGAAAGACTGAAAGTCTTCACACTCAGTTAATTGCAAAAACCCAGGATATTTTAATCCACTCTGATACATATTCTAGAGATCTTAAATATTATTAAAATAAAATTAATATAAACTATTTCCAAAAGCAAGTTAACATATTATATCTTGCCTAACATAATACATTTTTGAATGGTGACATTAGTACAGTCAAAGAGTTAAAAGCCAATACGTCACAGTTTGCATTAGAAAGCGAACCAACACAACTGAGTCAATACTATATTGATGTCTACAGTAATTTAAACCATGTAAATAAGCAGACAAAAAAAACCCTTCTCACGCTAGGGCTGTATGTGTGCAATTACTTCCATAACCAAAGAAAAACCCAGTTCTAGAAACATTTAGTTTTTGCTCACTATGAACTTGCATTTCTCCCTCCCATTCCCTTCGACCAAAAGTTGTGCCTTCACCTCAATGCAAACACCTTCCCTAATCATCTCTTCTTTCAACTTCAAAAAACATCCAAGGTATCCTCTGGTGTGCAAAGTACAGTTTCTAATGCTACCTAACAGGTATTCTGAAAACTGAAAGCTGTTCACAATTCTACTGAAAGAAACTAAACCAAGGTTTCAATTTTTCAGCAGATTATATAGACAAACAACTTTTAGTGTGGGAGAAAAGGTAATAGTAACACAGAACAAAAGCAGAGTAGATTAAAGAGGATTAATTTAAGTCTCCTCTCCTCAAACTAATTTAGGAATCATAACAGATCTCTCCAAGTTATGAAAAATATTGCATCTGAAAAAAACCCTCTTCAGTTTATATTAATAAAACTTAAAATAACTGAAGACAGCAGGTCATCACCATCCATCTTCTCCAAATGTTATATATTTCCAATAAGAAAGCTTATTAAATTAGTAGTAGTAGGAAAGAATACCCAAAAATGGCCTAACTTAAAAAAAGAATGCCATGTCTACTGGGGCTTGAGTGGTGATCTACCTGATAGCCTCCACAATATCTGTTTGCAAAGTAAGATCTCCATACTTAACTCTCAAATTTCAAAGAGTGCATAGGGATATGCATTTTTGAAAAAAAAAAATAAAAAAGAAAAAAAAGCTTTTGTGTTGACATGATAGCTGTATGCAAATAAAAAATAAAAGTGTTGCAATTTTCAAACTACACTTGCCCTTAAGTAAATCAAGTTCCAACTGTCTTTCATGGGTGCATATGAGAATGCAACCTACAGGTTAAAACACAGATGTCAGCCATGCCTACATCAGACAGAAAAAACATGAATTCTGAATCAGCTAAAAATAGCAACCTTTTCTATAGATCTGTCCTCTTCTCTAGAAATGGATGAGCAGAAACTGTAGCAGCACTGCTGATGACACTGAAAACCTCGCTGAAGCATATTCAATATTAAAAACCTACCCAAATAAAGATTTCTCCCTTGCCAATCAGCATTTATCAAGTTTTTTCTGGGCTGAGATTAATCCAACTGGTTTCATTTAATATTTTTTATAATTAAGGATCTAGGAAAGGAAGGAAATTGTTCTGTCAGGTTCTAGTAAAAATGAAAAAATTCAGAATCAAGTGAGTCTTAAGTATCAGCTCTGCAAGGCAAATACCTAATCTGTGGATTTTTTCAGATGACAAAGATAGCTACAGCTCTAAATAAATAGCCATGTCCCAGTACTAGCAGATTTTTATCACACATAGACAGAGATGAGTGTTTAGCATCACCATGAATCTAAGTTACAATACTTCTAGAATACTTCTGATGAGTCACTCCCCTGAACTTCTCTGCTGTTTCCTTCCCACTCCTGAGGGAATGAGGTGGAGTCAGGAAAGAGAACAGTCTAAAGCAAGAAATTACTACCTTTCTTCCCAATTTTGCTATGTTTATTCCAGAGTTTATGCACAGCTGGGATGCAGGAAAAGGAGAATGGTTTTAACCTTTGGACTCCACATTTCTGCTTCCAAGGACAAGCAAAATAGCTCTGCTTGCACCTCCAGATACCACAGGCAGTTCCTATTTCTTTTTCTCATGCAAGTATATAGCCTCTGTTAATCTAGAGAACTATTTTATGTAGTCATATATTATCTTTGAATTAAGACTTTGCAATTAATAAAATCCAGTATCTGAACAGCCATCTCAGCAAAAACTGAGACACAAATACAACAAAGAAGAAAAATAATCCAGCATTCATTCTAACTTTTCTCAATTGGAGCAGCATAAGAAAAATTAATAATGTAAAATGTCTGTGATTCAGACAAACTTAATTTGTATACTTAAGCAAACTGTAACTTTTGAAAAATACTTCAGAAATATTATCTGATCAAAAAGCCATAAAATATCTTAAAAGTGATAGAAGTCTGTAAGTAATTTTCTGTTTAAGGCTTCTTGTGCATTTTATATATCTGAACAATATACCTGCAGAGAAACTCTTGGCTGAAGAACCTTACAGCCACCATAGTACAAGATAAATTAATACCTTTAAAACAATTTATCTCTGATATCCAAAATATGAAGTCTATCAATCTGAAAAAAACCCGAGAGCTCTGCACAAACCAAAAACCAGAAAAGCAAATACAAGTCCTATTTCTCTTTAAAGAAGGTGAAAATATGATGGTATTGAATCTTCGTCACTATTTTCTAGCTAGGATGTCATCCACAACACTTCCCTTTAAGGCCAGATTTAAATTCGCTGGCAGGAGGGGTTTTTTGTGCACTTTTAGTGTACAATCCTGTAATCAAAATCATCAGTGCGTTCTTACATTAACAAACAGCACATAAAAGATGTCCTCCAGTCTGTCTGACTTCAGAGTCTCAAGGTATTTTGTAGAAAAAGCGCATGTGCTCTGGCTGGGGGCTCCTATTAATCAGATTATCAGCTGCATACAACAGGAGCCACCTCCCTGTCTTCTGACGGAAACAGAAGGCAGCTATTACACCCAATAGCTTTTCTAAATAACAACCATAGAAGTCTGACATTGGTATTGTCAGTCTTGTAAAACTGACTAGAAGTCAAAACAATTCCTGTTTCAGGGAAGAGAGACCACAAAAAGATGTGCCTATCCAAATATATTGATTATAAATAGTTAAGGTAAGTTTGCATCCATGAAGACAGACAAATAGATGTTGACAAACAAGGTAGTATGGTGTGGATT